ATATATATATACAGCCAGTCTGCAACGTAAAGTAAGTGTATAGGTTTATACTAGCCTATTGGGTTATTTAAGAGGCGTGACCTCCGAGTTAAACGTCCGTCTCCTATAGTTCAGAGCCATATGGGTTGAAAGCTTTGAAAACTCTACAAAATGACTCTTGGTCAAGAAAGCGCAATCTGGGATTCGAATCAGACAGAGTCATCCGCTCTATAGTCCAGCGTGATATCAACTGAGCCAACAGAACGCCAGCCAGTCTGTGCATAGAACCGTGTCAATAATAATAATCATCATCATCATCCAGGGCCAGATCTGCGACAGACATCGGCGATCATGGTTTTCCATTCATTCCTTTGCTCGGATGCTCTCAAAAAAGCTACGTTTCCCTGATCTTTTCCTGTTACCCATTTGTTTAGGTTCCCTAAGTATGTTGTTCTGGGCCTACCCCTGCCTCGCATGCCCTCAATTTTGCCAGTGAGAGCTAGATGTTCAAGACCCTTATGTCTATTCAGGTGTCCCCAAAACTGCTTTTGTCGTTTCCTGATTGTTTTTAACAGTGAGCGTCCCTCGTGGGCTTCATCAAGCACTACCTCATTTGATTTCTTTTCCTTCCACCATACTCTTTGCAGTCTCCTAAGAAACCACATTTCTGTTGCCTCTATTTTATTTTCACTGTCTTTAGTGATTGTCCAGTATGCACAGCCATATAGAAGGGTTGACCACACGTAGCGTTTCAGAACTTTAATTTTGGTGTTCATTGAGATGTTTCTATTTTTCAGGATTGGGCTCATTTTATTGAAACTAACCTTAGACATTGTAGTTCTCCTGTGTCAATAATAATCTAACAAACTTAGCGAGCAATCACCTGTTGCCAAGGATACTTCAACCATGGGAATATTGAACTCCTTGGCCTTGTACATTGACCGGAAGGCGCCAGTTCCAGATGTGGGTATGGACGTGATGACCAGATCAAGCAAAAGGAGCGCAAAGACAGGTCGTCTGCACGTACGATATAAGGCTTGGGGTAAATCTGGGGATTTAATTAGCTGTTGTGAAAACAAAGGCACATGTACTTTTGTATCCAGATTCCTTATTTTTTACTTTTTCCGAGTTTTTTAGCACTTATAATGTTCATTAGTTTTATTATTTTAAAATGTGTGAACAACTAACCAGAAGAAACAACACACACACACACACACACACACACACACACACACACACACACACACACACACACACACATACACACACATACAGTATACACACAAATACACACACAGAGGCACACAAGATACATCCATAACTCAGTTGATGTTATGATAAACTGCTGAAAGGAAGATTCTGTTTTGAAGCCGCAAAAGAGTGTTCGACAGCTTTAGTTTTTTGAAGAGTTTGGAACCTCTTGGTTCGGTGTTATCGAAGATAGACGTTTTATTGCAGAAGGGTGGCTTGTACGACGACCTCATTTTTTTGTTGTGGCTGTATACTTAGAGAGAGAG